ATTTTCTACATGGATTTTGGATTCCTATATGGATCCTTATGGATTTTAAATTTCCTGTATAGATTCCTATCGATTGCTGTGGGAATCCACCTGGAAATTTTCAACAGGGCTTGATACAAAATAAATACATTCCATGCATAATAGATTATATAATGGATATACACAAATATATATAGGATCTGGTGAATTTCGATTGTTCTGACACAATAAAGCCAATTGTTTCGGAAAGAGTCAAACATAAATTCAGGACAGTCAGAATCCCGGAGCGTCCCTTCACATCGTAATTAACGCAACAATTGTATTTTCAGCGCACAATTTTTATACGAGACTATTATTATTAAATGTAATTAATTTAATAAATTTCGCAATAATCATAGTAAGAGTTTCGATCGGAACACAGTCGATCGAAAATTTTTCGAAAATAATCATAGGTCTCTCGAGGTCAGCTAGAAGAATATGTAATAAAAAATAGGGGATGCCGTTTAAAAAAATTGAGGAGACTTTCATGTGACTTTCAAATAATTCTTCAAGGTCAAAGCAATGGTACCATCTTATGGTCCCCTCGAAACCAAACAACTTTTGTCTGAAAAATTTTTCTCTCCCGTGCTTGGTTTTCGACATATTCGACTGGATGGATTAAAATGGTCCACCCTGTATATATATATTTCTCTCTTTTAAGATATTGTATGTATACCCAGATAGCACAAGATGTCCTATGGACATCCATTTTATATCTATTTTACGTCTGCACATCCATTGACATGCAATCCATAAGATATCCGATTTTGGACATTCGTTAATATCCATAATTTGGATGTCCATAAGATATCCGATCTTGGATAAATGTCTTAAATATTAAATTTGACTATATGTTGAGAATGCGCGCTATCAACGCTATATATCATTCTATCCCCATGCAGCAACGTCACGTCATTTTCACGTCAATAAATGATGATTACTAGTCCTAGACGTCATGTAACCAATAACTGACGTTTAAAAAACGTGAACAATTTTGATGTGATAATAACGCCATTTAAAGACGTCTATAATACGTTTTTGAAAAATCATTTTTAATCAGCTGTTCAATAAGCAAAAAATGTGACAGATTTTTATCTACCTTCCCTTATAGAAATATCATACTAAGAATCATTGACAATTACTTATTGTCCAGTATTTTTAATACTGAAAATAAGTAATTATCAATGATTCTTAGTATGATATTTCTATAAGGGTTGGTAAAAAAAGTTGATAAAGGACGATAGAATAAAATTCTATTTGCTGTTTTTACTTTAAAATTTTAGATTACTTGATTCCAATCATCACATTTAAAAATTGTCACTGGCATTGATGGAAACTCAAACTTGGATCCGCGAGGCACCTTTCGATCATGAATCTGTTGATTTAAACACGACACTACTTTATCGATCGATATAAACATTTTACATATAAACGTTTTATATTTTGTCTATATATGTTGTAATTAACACAGTAATATAATTTTCTGATAATATGATTTAATAAAATAATTTAATTTCAATAAAAATTATATTTTTTGTACTTTTATTGTTAATTTAACTCTTAGCTAATGAGATAAGGTCTACAAAATCCCACACATTCCATTTCGTTATCTTTAAATTTTTATAGTAAAAATTCTTTATTGTTAACTGTTATTGAATAAAGTCATAAAAGACTATAAACTTTGAGTAATAAAATAGTACTACTAAAAAAAAAAAGAAAAATCTATCTTATTATATAAGATTTAATTATAGGGAGTGTGAATAAGTTCTCGCCGTTTCACCATCAGATGGCAGTATAAAAATTTTGTGTGTATAATTCAAGATGATGACACATCTATATTGAAGTTCTATAACCTATGTTTAAAATCAGTGCGTGTCTTTCCATTAGGGTGTATATCAGTTGGACACGGGGCAATTGGACACAGTCCAATCACAAGTCGCTGTTCCAAGGGACCCTACAAATGTCTCTAATCATACGGTGCTGTGATTGGCTGTGTTCAAATGCACCGTGTCCAAGTGCACCGCTCCCTTTCCATTAACCTATAAAGAACATTTTCTTTTCGTAGCGTAAAACATGTCAAATTTCGTGCCAAATAAACCGTTTTTGCGGGGAATTTTACTGCACTACTTTATTCAGAAGAAATCTGCAGTTGAAGCACACAGAATTCTTGTAGAAACCTATGGTGATCATGCTCTGTCGGAAAGAACATGCAGAGATTGGTTTAACCGATTTAAAAATGGTGATTTTGATGTTCAAGATAGAGAACGCAGTGGTGCACCAAAAAAGTTTCAAGACGAAGAATTGGAAACATTACTTGCTGAAGATCCATGTCAGACGCAATCCGATGTTGCAAAATCATTAGGAGTTGATCGAACAACAGTTTCGAAACGTCTGACAGCATTAGGAATGATACAAAAGGAAGGATCTTGGGTGCCATACGAACTGAAGCCGAGAGACGTCGAACGGCGTCTTGTCACGTGTGAACAGCTGCTTCAACGACAAAAAAGGAAAGATTTCTTACATCGTATTGTGACTGATGATGAAAAGTGGATATACTACAGTAATCCCAAGCGTAAAAAATCGTGGGTTAAGCCCGGCGAAGCAGTAGCCATCAACGCCAAAGCGGAATATCCACGGTTCCAAGCTCATGCTCTGCATTTGGTGGGATCAGCTGGGGGTAGTGTATTACGAGCTGCTCCAACCCAACCAAACCATCACAGGAGATCTCTATCGACGACAATTGATGCGTTTGAGCCGAGCATTGAAAGAAAAACGGCCGCAATATGAGCAAAGACACGATAAGGTGATTTTGCTGCATGATAACGCTCGGCCGCATGTCGTGTCACCGGTCAAAACATACCTGGAAACGCTGAAATGGGAAGCCCTACCCCACCCGCCGTACTCTCCAGACATTGCGCCTTCTGATTACTATTTATTTCGATCGATGACTAACGGTCTGGCTGAGCAGCACTTCACTTCGTATGAAAAAACGAAATAATGGATCGATTTGTGGATAGCCGCAAAAGAAGTGTCGTTTTTTCGACGTGGAATTCAAATGCTGCCAGAAAGATGGGAAAAAGTAGTCTCCAGCGATGGGCAATACTTTAATTGACTTGTTTTTTTATTATTTTTTTTATTTTCACAAAAAACGGCGAGAACTTATTCACACTCCCAATAAATTAATTAAATTTATATATAAACATATTATATTACATATAATTAAATTTATATATAAACATATAATCAACGCTTATTATAAGCGATGGCGTATCTGTTTTATGTAACCATAAAATATAAATAAAATTAGTTAATAATAGTAATTTCTCACAAATTCTCAGAATATCCGAAATAACGATTCGCGAAATATTTATTATAATAAAGTTCCAAAGAATACTTTAGAATAAATTAGGCTCGGATAATTTTTCAGGAATTCTTCAGATATTCATTTTTCTAATTATTTAGGTATTCTTTAAAATGAATTCTCTATAAGAAATTCTATTCATCTCTGTGCTATCTGGGTCAATATTCTCATTAACATATCTTTGAACATCATCCTACTAATTGGATAATTGCAACGATGCAATGCACGTGAGTAAGAAATGATAGGACAAGTTTTATAAGGTTTATTTCTAAGAGCCAAATACTTGAAATGCAAGCACATAAAAAATAAATAACAATATGTATAAATAATAATCTATTGGTTACATATACCATATACAGTTGATATAAATGAACATTACCTTAGTAAAATAAATTGATAGTGAACGATAGAATAAAATTCTATCATTCTATCATTTTCTTTCGTTTTGAATATGGATTTTGGTTCGTGAATTCACAAATGTGAATAGTATTCTATCGTATACGACATTATCTCTGTGACATTTACGAATAGTTTTTGTTAGAAAATTGAACCAAATACACTACAATACAGGATACTAAAAATAATGTCCAGTGTAAGTCCTTTTTTAATATTCCAAGGACGTCCAAAATAAGTAAAAAACATCCTATGAACAGCCTATGAACGTCTACCAGACGTCTGTTAGGCTTTATTCGGACGTCTTATGGATATCCCAATATCCAAACTTGAACGTCCACTGGACGTCCATATGCTATCTAATTATATATATAATATCCTATATTTATTTTATCACGTATTTCTTAGATACAAATGTGTACTATTGCGCATCTATTGGTCCTTGAATCTTTGTTAAGTAATTCCATACCATCAAAATATATAAACCTCGCAAGATGACTTCTCTCATCAGCAATTAGTGCAATTTATTTCATTAACATTACAAACATTACGTAATATGATGCTTCATGAGCGTTTAAATAGTAATAGCGTTTAACTTGCTTTTTTGTGATATCCAACTTCGTCCAAGCCCACGAGATGGGACCTATGTGTTATTCTGCTGAACGTCGTCTAGTCTCTACAGCAACCAGTCGATGTCTCACGTCTCTTTTTTTATTCACTTCACTTTACTTCACCTCACTGTACATGCGATTACGATCGTTTTAACGGTGTTTAACGATTTAACAAAAAGTGCACGGCAAACTCCAACGCTTTGAGAATATACTTGCGAATCAAAAATCATGTGGAAAAAACTGCAGATCGCGGCGGCGCTTTCAACAAGACCAAAAATAACAATATGATATTTAATATTTCTATATTATGATCAAGTTAAAAAAAACCTCCATTTATTATATAAGTGTAATTAATATATACATAATATTAGTAAATCAGGAGATCGCGGCGGCGCTTTCAACAAGACCAAAAATAACAATATGATATTTAATATTTCTATATTATGATCAAGTTAAAAAAATCTCCATTTATAATATAAGTGCAATTAATATATACATAATATTACTAAATCAGGATATGTACAATTTTACCTGTGGACATATTTTAATTGGAACGGCAAGGTCTTTAACAACTTGAATATTTCTTGCCGTATTCTGGTACATAATAGGTTTCTAAATAAACTTCAAAGTACAATTTTATTAATATTAAATCTACTCGAGATATTTTTTGGAAAACACAATTTTCTATATTTACAGTTTTCATCCATTCTCTTTTCTCAAGTTTAATCTTTCAAAAATTCTTAGTGCTTAGTCCTAAATTACTTGCAGGCTGTGGGCATTTTCATATTTTAATTCGCAAAATTTTCATATTTTAATTCGCAAATTAAACAAAGGATTAACATTGAAAAGATAAAAAAACTCTAAGGAATTCTGCATTTACCACAAACGGATGTATTGCGCGTCTCCATATGTCAGGTTACATAAGTTAGCACGTGTTTTCGTATTGTTTTCGTATACATTTACATAAGCTGACGTTTATTAGTCATTTGAATCGACTTACATAACAGGAATTAAGAGGTTACAACGATACATTAACACTTAAATTACGTCTTCGTTTTTCCCTCGTTTATTTCTATTTATCATGATATGAACTGTAGATTATCAAACAGATGATCACCAAACAGATAAAATGTAAATTTCAAACAGATTATAAATTTTACAAATCAGTGTCGAAAATTGGGTTTCGATGAATTTCATTTTGGATTTCGGTATCAATAATACAATTAACTCTGGCACTGGTCAACTTGTCCGGTGGCGCGACTTTGGATCGCGTAAAATGACTTTTATAAAAGTGTTTTTAGCCAATTGCAATTACACTAATTATGACGGAATTATATTCACTAATTACTTACACTACTGAAAAGAAGCTCTTTAAATATATTACATTAATAGAGACAACATTCATAGATTAGAGCAGTTATCTAAGAAAATAAAAACTCAGAACTCTATTGATTATATGACTAGATCAGCGACAAAATCAAGAAAAAGTTTTCAGATCGATGAAACTTTTCATTTTTCTACCTTTCTAATGTTTAAAGATAATTACAGAAAACAATTATTGTAATTTCACACAGAGAACAATTATTATCTTCTATTTTGATAAAAAATTGAAATGACATTGATTTGCGTATAATTCCTACAGAAAATTGAGTTAAAATCAATATAATTTTGCCGAGTTTTCGATTTCGATTTTGTAAATGGAAGATGTACCTTCTACGCTAATTGCTATATTTTCACTGTTGCAAAGAGACCCAGGGATCGCTGTGAGTGCATTTGTGCATCGAATTTTGAACTTGTTGAAATCGTCGATTTCCTTTTACTCAACATCAAATTGTGTAAATAATATGACAACGAAGTCTAAGTCACAGGAGAAGAAAGTGGCTCGATCGATGAAATTTTATTCTTCGCATGTCTTAACCAAGGGATGAATGGCCACGGACGCACCCGGGCAACTAACGGTGTTCTGTATATAATCCTGGAAGTTGCTCTCGATCACCCACATAAGTTTCTTGTAACCAGGAATAACTTGTGTCGGTAGTCGACAATCGCTGCCTCTCTCTACTAGAAGGAAGTTCTCAGGATTGAACGATGTCTCGGTGTTCCACATGTAGACATCCGACTCACCTGAAATTGAGCAATTCATTCGTGTTGATTATGTGTGTCGAGATTAAGATAAATAAAGATAAATCTAAGATTAAGATAAATAAAGATAAATCAATTAAATGTTATGAGAACTAAGTTTAACAAAATATCTAATATAAAATTTACATCGACATTCAAATCACGCTTGAATCATTTATATAAAATACAAAATTACCTTTAACTCGGAAGAAGATCGCGTAACCGTTATCAGTTCCGAGAAGGACTATCTTGTTCTGTTTTGGTCCAACAGCTACGACAGCACCATTAGTGTATCCTTTCCTCAAGTTCACGGCCTTGATCGCAAAGAGTTTATTGGATCCTAAATAGGTAAAGTACAGAATCGATGTGCCGCAGCTTTTTTTCACCAGTGCCAAATAGAGAACGTCTCTTCTCTCGACACCGGCGGTAACAGCTGATGGGAGAACCACTCGATATCCCTTATCCGCGGTAACATTGTATACGATTATGGATCTGGCGGCGGCATCGCTCACGTACACGTACACCTGACCGTCTTCCGCATAATCGACTGCTAGATATTGCAAACGGGACAACGGGTTCACCAGGGAGCTCAAATCGATCACTCTCACGACCTACGAAATATTATCTTTTTGAGGGCACGTATACATATTTCCTTTAAACGATAAGTATCACTGACATTAGAATAAATTATATTTCTTCGCAAAATTTTAGATTTATAATTTGTGAATATCAACTTAACTTACTACTCAATATGTCACAAAAAGAATAATTTAATCCTGAAAATGTTGTCTCTTTAAGAATATTCTCTAAAAATATTAATGATCGTCCAAGTGTTACAGTGGTGCAGTCACAAATTGGAAATTTGTCTACAGTTACTATTTAACTTTTTCCATTGTTTGTAATACTAAATTTATTCCCATACCTTTCCGGATTTCACGTTGATACCGACAACTTTCGGGGGACATCTTCGCACCGGTTGCTCTAAAGTATTGACGACTCCAACATCCAGCACCCACAGAATGTCCTGAATATCTAAATCTATGTCCACCACGCTTTGCAAGGCTTGACAATTACCTTCCTCCTGAATCGCCCAGCATGGGAAAGGTGTCACTTTCGGCGTGCAATCCTTCGTCTTCAAGGACATAACACCTAAGGTGAATGGCACGCCGGGCTTGTATCGCGGCATCGCTATAATAGCGTCCTCCTTATAGATCTGCATCCTCGTGGAAATAACATTCCTGGCGATGTAACGTCCACTCGTCTCGTAGATATTTTTCGTGCTCTGACATGGCCAGTCTAAGCTTTGCCCTGATAAGATGAACAACAGCTCTGGTAGTACTTGCTTGTCGCATACAATTATCGACAAGCCACTCGCCAAGATCGCCATCCATAGGGCGTTCATTGGGATTCGCCTCATCCTGCGCTCGCCTTCTACATAAGTACATGATAAAATTTGTCAATAAGATTACTTCTAACGTGTCATTTCTACAAAAGAGAGAAAAACCTTTCGTTATTTAACCTATTAATGCCCAAATGTGCTCAAATTTTATGTTGATTTGAGCCATCTTACTACGGAAATAAGGTCTGTTGTTTATAAAGAGTACCATTCCTACCAATTTCGATGTCGCTCTGTCAAATAATGTTGAGAAAGTTTTTAAAAAATCGCAATTTATGCAAAATTTTTGCAAAATAATATTTATAAACGCATGTTTTTAAGACTAATTTTTTCTTCTTCTGCTATTTTCTTCATAAAAACGTGTTAGTATCGCTCGAGAAAATGTCTAAAACGTATTCCCGATATTTTAACTTAAAAAATATGCCATGGATTTTTTGTCAACAAACATAACGATACCAAAATGGCGGTCGATTTGAAACATTTAATTCAAATTTTCCTTTATATTTGGTTATCGAAATTGTTTTACTATGTAATTACTATGTAAGTTACTATGTAATTTTGTAGTAATATTGATCCTAAAATAATTTCCATTAATAACCAAATATATATTTCCATTAATAATCAAATATAAATAAAAATTCGAATTAAACGCTTCAGATCGCCATTTTGATACCGCCATGTTTGTTGAAAAAATACTCATGGCATATTTTTTAAATTAAAGTATCGGGAACACGTTTTAGACACTTTCCCGAGCGATACTAATACGCTTTTATGGAGAAAATAACGGAAAAAGAAAAAATTAACCCTAAAAACGTTTGCGTTTTTTATTCTATCTTGAAAAAATTTTGCATAAATTGCAATTTTTTTTAATTTTCTCAACGTTATTCGATAAAGTGACATCAAAATTGGTAGGAACTTTTTATAAACAACAGATCTCATTTCCGTAGTAAAATAAATGGCTCAAATCAATGTAAAATTTCAGCACATTTGGGTTAATAGGTTAAAAAAATAATTGCCAAAGTTTATAATACGCGTAGTAGCTGGAACCACATGATTGATGCATTGTCAGCAATAATATAAAAGTTAAGTAAGAAGTAACAAGTAACAAGTAAAATGTCACAAAAGTGTTAAATGTACACGATTCAGATTTACAGAAATTTTTACAGCGGAAGAAAGATGTACATTAGACTATTTGAGCTGTTAAAAAGCTACGGATTTAACTAAAAACGGATTTAAATAAGTATACACGTGTCCACATACACGCACAAAAATTTCTGTGATTTTTTAGTAAATTTTATATATATGTATACTCACATATATGTACAAATACGAAATTAACAAAAATGGTATTTAATAAAGAGTTGTATTTAATAAAGAGATAAATAACGCCAAATTAATATACTCTATGTATAACAACAATGTCTGTTACAAATATAAAAACTCACAAGATTTCTCGTACAATCAGTTGGACAATAATCTGAAAATGTGGGTATCTTTTATACGTTTTTATACTTATATGCGTTGATTATACACTGAAAGAGACTGTTTACAATTTTATCGCATACTTTTACTACCTCCTTACTCAGTATTTTGCAACGACTCTTTTACTCAGACTTGACCGAATATGTAAGGAGGAAATATCTCGTGGTATATGCATTCTCGATTATTGTTAATAAATAATGACAAACCCAGGAAGATACGAATGGTATTAATAAGCGGAATTCCACCAGGAAATAAATCCAATAAAACAGGAAATATTTCACTGAATTTATCATATCGGAGATTTCCGCTCCTTTCTCTACAGAATATATATACTCCTTTCTTACTTCCTATTTTAATCTTGTATAGTTATATAATCTTGTATATATAACCCTTTAATTTTATTTTATTTTATTTTATTTTATTTTATTTTGTTTTATTGTATTTCCCTTCGATCTTTTCCAGTCTATTTTTTATTATTGCAATTATTATTATTATTGCATATTTATTATCTTCAATTTCTTTATCTTTAAATATAACTCTGTCATTATATTAGGAAAATCAAAGTATTTAGAAAAACAGAATCATTATACTTTGTATTCTTGTTCTATACATAATAAAATTTCTCAAAATGTTTATATTCGTATAAATATAGCATTTTTTTTATATAATTTTCACTATTATTAGTAGACTAAAAATATGAAAGAATGTAGTTATCAAGAGTATTTTTATAGTATCATAGTTTTCACTATTTATTTTATAGTATTTATTTTGTACAGTATTTATTTTATAGTATTTATTTTGTACTTTATACTTAGTTTTATAATTTATACTTAATTATCATACTATAAATTGTTTCTTTGATTCTATTTTTATAATTACAACTAAGATTATGATTAATATTATTATTATAAAAGAGAATAACTCTTTTAAAATTTTTAAAAAATGTTTGTTTTAGGGTTAAAATGTATTAAATGTTCTATATTTTATCCACAACTATCTTTGCTTACCTACAAAAAAAATAGTTTTTATTACTTACAGAAAAAGATTATTTTACATCTAACTTTCTTCTTTATGTCTTTTTCGGAAAAAATAATGTAAATTGAAATATAGTTGATATATAGTTCGTGTAAGGTCATTTTTCCTCAATGAATCAATTTTTTTTATAAACGTTGATTAATATTAAAGATTATAACCATAGCGTAATAGCATTTTCTATCTGCTCTACACTTAATCTACATTCAATTCACATTTAAAATTTATACGAATTTATACGAAATTGTTCGCATCAGATCGATCAGGAACGATAAAAAGAAACCTCGTGTCAAACCCCCTGTTGTACATTACGACAAAAAATATTTTTCCAACCGAGACATTTCGCAACGTTGCCTTGATATGACAGGATTATAAAACTGGCGCAATCCGAATAATCTTCCAGTTTATTCGAATCAATTCGACTGGGAAAAGAGACGTGGTCTTCTCCAAAGGTAGGGGAAATTCATATAAAAAGCAGCAAAGATGCTTTCTTCACTGGCGGTGACATTTATTGTCGCCGTCGCTCTCGTCGGAGGTCACGATTTTACGAAGTACGACAGAAATATTGTATGGACTGGTGGGCCTTTCGAGTGGCCTTGCCCGACCACGAAGAGCATGTTCAAGAACAGTGGTCGTTACATTTCGAAGAATGTCCTCGCCACTAGAGCTGTGATTTACAAAGACGATGCTATCCTGGCTTTACCTAGGTATGAGCATATTTTGCGTATAAATTCCACTTTGTAAATTTATTTCACACCTATAGACATATTCAAGCAACAAAGTAAGATTTGTCAAAAAAGGACTCGGAAGAAACAACATCACTTGAGATTGTATTGTATATAAATTGTATTATACATGTCTCTCTATCGTGATGTTGAGAAGAAATTTCTATATAAAGGAGTAGATCCTTATATAGGCATACTTTCAAACTGACTGGCTTGACGAGATTGCGTTTTCCTTTTTGATCCGCGTCAGGATAAAAGAGCAACTACATTCTTTGTTAGATCCACCAATCTAGTTAGATTTACTTCGAATAAAATAAAATTAGAGGTCAGTACAGAAAAAGCACGTTTGTTATGAATCGTGTTACGTGAAGAACGGCCGATATATGAAGTATCTATCGTAGAAATGATCAAGTTAATTAAACGTTAAGTTAAACGTGATCAAGTTAAGTTAAACGTGAGTTTGTAAATTGCTGATGATTATGGACTTAAGAAAAGTTAAACTGTCAGTTGGGACGTTTCAAAAAAAGTAATGGCTGCTTTCAGTAGAATGAGACGTGTGTGTGTGTGTGTGTGTGTGTGTGTGTGTGTGTGTGTGTGTGTGTGTGTGTGTTTATTTATGTAAGCTACTAAGCAATTTTCTATCCAGTTGGTGTGTAATTTTAGACCTTGGCCAGATCTGAACATACACATAAACCAATCAGATTTGCAAATTTCTGATTACTGAACGCATCGCTCCGCTGAGCGCAGCCATTGTCTTTTGTTTAAACCGCTCAAGCGTAGGTCAGTAGTAATTGATTAGAATTTCCTAATATTACGATTAAAAAAATGATGTTATGATAATGAGGCACAAGTACGGCCGCTTTTACGTTTCAATGCCACCTTAGTACGTCATTATTATCAGAAAAATTACTGAAAAATGCCATCGAATGGACAACTTGCTCTACTTGGGATATGAGACATGCTTAGGACATTATAACTGTATATTATAATGTAAGGTTGCGAACCTTACATTATAATGTACAGTTATAATGTTCTAAGCGTGTCCCATATCCCAAGCAGAGCAAGTTGTCCATTCGATGGCATTTTTCAGTTATTCTTCTGATAATAATGACGTACTAAGGTGACATTGAAACATAAAAGCGGCAGTATTTATGCCTCATCATCATAACGTCATTTTTCTTTGTCCGCCACTACTAGATTTCATCGATAGGGGCCAAGTTAGACACAGATAAATTAGATAGATTAAATTATCTGCAACACTTTCTAATCAAGTCTTTACGGACTTCTATGGAAGTGTTCACGTATACATTTGATCTATTTGCACAGGTCTACCGTATAGACCCGCAAGGCTAACGTCATGCACCTGTATCGTTATATCTTATCAAAGATCGTGCAAAGTTAATGTATGTAATAAGTAAACCGTGTTACACACATTTAAATCATTCCTTTCAAGAGTGGTTAACAAATCGTTCAGATATATTTACGAGCACAATAGCATTTTCTTTTGCCACTTAAATAATCAAGCGCTGTTTGATATTAAACTATTTATACATGATTGTTTTACATAATATAATGTTTTATATAATTAATGTACTTATAAAAACGTGTTGCATATTTATTGTTAATATAGTTAATTGCACACACACGCATACATTTCTCGATTACTAAATCACGTGATTAATTCCACTATGCTGCTCGTGAACGATTTTCACTTATTCATGAGAGTGCAAGTGCAAAACTATGTGTTATATAAACATAAGTACACCATTCACATAGATAATTACGCTAACGTATTAATTATAAAGCGTTTTAATTACCAAAAAATAATTAAGCTTTTACATAAATGTACATTTGAATTGCTATGGGGATCTTATTTCACTTGTCGTTTGTATAAAAACTGCGAAGTAAAGACGACGTTTTTAGATTCGACAAGGATACTAATATGTGTTTAAAACATATATCCAGGTTTAAAGTTGGCGTACCAGTAACTTTAGCCAAGGTATCTTTGAAAGATAAAAACTGCCAGGCCAATCTTTTCCCTTACCCTTGCTGGTCGTTTCAAGAAGAGGGAACATGCTCCGCCTTGCAAAATGTTGTGGACCTTTATTTGGATCCTCAGGATATTCTGTGGGTGCTGGATTCGGGTATCGTAAACTCTCTCGAAGAACCCATACGTAAATGTCCGCCAAAGGTTGTCGCCCTGAACGTAAAAACCGGCAAGGTGAGATAATCCATTTGTATAATTTGTAATATGAAATGATAATATGAAATGTAATATAAAACAAGTTTAAAATGTATCTATGCGCACGTTGTGTTACCAATTCGCATCGCCTTTCTTTTTTCCTTTCGCACAAATGTTTCATAACATACATACGTGAAATTCAACTATGTTCTTTATAGCGTGACGAATAGCTGCGAAAAATTCTATTAAAACGGATTTTTTCCTCACATTATGTAATAATTGAATCAGTATTGCAATATAAGAATATTTAAAAATTCTGAAATATTCACATACTCTAAAATTCCCACAAATGAAAATTGAAGAAACCGACATTGGCTCTTTTCCTTTCAAGTCATAAACATAATTAAGAAATAAATAAAAGAACTAATAACAACCAAGTCGCTGTTGATTGTGCGCAAAAAGTTCTATTGCAGAAGATCTATAAACATCATATATGATATAAATTTGTATTGATCTTTCAATTTCAAAAAAAAATAGAGAGTATTTGTTCGATTAATGTCATATTTATTATTTCTCAAATATTCGTGCTAACGAAATCAACCTCTCAATTATGCGATAATAAAACGCGTATACACGAGAAAAAATGTATGAAAATTTATTCATAAGGTATAAAGTTTATTTCTATAAAATAAAATTTATTTCTGCAAGATGAACTTTTATCCCGCAAATAAATTTTCAAATGTGTTTCTTTTCTTAATATATAATAATAAATAATAATTGACACATAATAAAGCAACGTAGCGAATACTTCTCTTCTAGATGATGAAAAGCGTCGATCTATCCGACCTGACGAGTGCCTCATCTCGGTTGCAATACGTCGTCGCAGACTACAATCCGGACGGCCGAGTCTTCATCTATGTGTCTGACGCAGCCACAAGAGCGATTCTGGTGTACGATGTGACTTCCAGTCGAGGATATCGCGTCGTTCTTCCACAAGCCATAACCACGAATTGCTCCCGCCGAGATGTACTTTATCTCGCCCTAATACGTCGTCAAGATGGTAGCACTTGCCTGATCTTCACATATTTGGGCGGCAGCCGGCTGTTCTCCATTCGAACGGACCATCTTCGGAGCGGATCTGCTCATGGCAAGATACACGATCTCGGGCCAAAACCCAGGCGAATGATCATCCTGGGCACAGACAATGGCATCGCGCTCTTTTTCCGATACGAAGGCGAGGCCGATGTCTACAGGTGGGATAGCATCACTCCGTTTGTGCCTGCCAGTTTCCAGCCCGTTTATAAGAGCCACGAATGCAACCTGGCCACACACGTGATGGCTGATTACAAGAGAGGACAAATGCGCGTGTTGGAGAGCAATTTTGCCGATTACATGCAGGGCACCGTTGGTTGTGGGGCCAATCACGCGTTGAATCTCATGTAGAAGGTGTTCTCGCTTCACCGACCATGAATGCAATTAATGAGGAGAGTCGTGTATATGTTATTGTCGACGTACGAGTATTGACAGCACAGCACACGCAGATGTGACAGATGGTTTCTCAATTTCGCATCGAGACTGGTGCTAATCCGACAAATTGGGCAACTTTTTTTGCGCTACAGACACGTCGTGATGTGCCTTAAGCTAATCGTTGCATCTCCACTGTTGTAAATATATTATATGGATTATTTCTACGTTTGCATCCGTAGCAGTCAAATGCGAGCTCACCGAGATAGATTGCGATTCCCTTTCAATATTGATTACGCAACATCTGGCAACGAACGGTCAAATAGAAATGTCAATCGCTGATATTTTTTCTCTCTCTTTCTCGATGAAGAAATAAACATATGTTGTTTTCGTTCTATTAATTTCGTCTTTGAGCACTCTTTAGATTCATCTCTTCAATATAAATTTTACGTCGGAAGTTGAATCACTTTATATTAATTCTCTCCGTTGTATTTAGTCAGTAAATCTTCTCGAAATTATCAACTGCTCCCAGACAATTCATCACAAGTCACATGTCACTTTTTGGGAATCGATGTTTTCGCTGTATTAAAATTCTACATACTTTTCTTTCGTAACCATCGCTTACAGTCGCTTACAATTAATGCTCCAACGAGAACACAAAGCTATTGATTATTAATCCGAGAATTTCTCAGCAATGATTTCCCTTTCATATCTTCGTATCTAATTAATAGGTGGTATTTCACAATAAATATCCAGTTAGCACGTTGATTGTCTTGAAAGCGATACATTTGCGTCAATATACATAAAGCGTAAATGATACGCTGGATTCTCGATGAAAATCGATATTCAAGATCGGATTATCTTCCTGGTCTTACATGACATTCAATACGAAACGAAAGTTCAATTGTATTTAATTACGGAGTAGATAACTTTTTTTACTATTTTAATTCTCCGCGTGATCTGAAGTCTGGATAATAGAGCGTGGCGAACTTATTGCATTTGGTAAGAGTAAGTGCAACCAGAAGTAATTTCGTCTTTCACAACATTTCAATTATAATAGTTTAAATTTGAAATAAGATATATTCGCAAAATATTACCAAACAAAAAGTGATAACACTACATTCTTTAACGCGTTCGGCGCCACGTAAATCGGTGTTGACCGAGTCAGCGTTTCACCAATACCCCGCGCCGCTTATCGTCAATCAATATTCAGTCGCCACACACACACGGTGCACGATTTTCTGTATGATTGGTTGTGTATGCTAATTCGTAATGTGCGTGTTTCGACGCATGCCAGACACCTTCGTGCACCGAACGCGACAGACTAGCGTGCATGATTTCCGTGCTCACTACCGTGCAATATTTCGTGTTAATACTTCCTATATGCACCGATCAGCGCGTTGGAAGTGATCACGTGATGGAGTTTCATTTGTATATTGAAATGTCTCGTCATGTCGTGTTATAATGCCGCTGTCAACGCGTCGTGATTAATTTAAACTGACACTTATACTTTCGCAAAGTACTAAAAATACTAAAAAATATTACTATTATTATATAGAAGAAATTCATATAAATTATTAAATACACTTATAAACGATAGAACTTTCTTATTATCGAGACATTAAATAGTGTTAAATACGGACGTCTTTTTCACGAACACACACAAATCAAAGCGGTTTTAAATATAAATGGGATATGAAACGTCGTGATTTTTACAAAAATGTTGGAGCACTTTCCACTGCATTTTTGTCAAAATCCTTTCTAAATAGAATTGTATTTTTTTTTGTCATAATATTTCTTATATTATCCCCTTGTTTAAATACGATAGTAACTTGCTACATGATGACAATACGCACATATAAATTTTCTTTTGTATAAAATCCATTCGTTTTCACTGGAAACATAATTTCTTCAAATTGCTTGTTCGAATAATCGCTTTGTGATTAGAGAAGATATTCTGAAACCAATATGGCCAATATCGCACTTTTGATTCATGCCATACGACAGATAGTGGCCGATAATGAACTTTTTCTATTCATATCGTCTTGTTTTCTGAATGCATTATATATTATCTTGTATATTAAACATAATACATTTGTATCATTTTGCTATCACCCATCAATGGTGGCTAACCATACACGACGTCCTGTTTATTTTAATGTTATAATTTAGCTAGGATAAAATTGTCCATATTATTATGCCTATTCTATTAATGTGTCTTTCTGTTTAAATAATTCATAAAAAATTATTACAAATAAATAGATAAAGTATTTTTTTTTTATTAAGTTAAAGTATTAAACACAAAAATATTTTTTCTTTCTATTTGTGCTAGTTTTTTATGGTTTATTTAAATGCAAAGGCACACTAACAGGAACAGACACAGTAATATGGAGAGTTATCCTATATGATATATTATTTTTACTTTAACTAAAATTATCTGTGATGATGCTGATCGTGCAAAACAGCTGGCAGCGAATGCATGCGTATTGATACAAAATTATATATATTTAAATTAAAATTGAATGTTATTTAAAATACCAAAAACGTTTTTTACGCAAAAAAATATTGCGGTGACTAATACGAATTGTCATTTAAATTATTTTATCAAAAATACGCCCTTTTGCTCCTTCAAGTTGCCAACAAGTTTTCATTCCAGTCGACCAATCGAGCTTGACGATTTTTGATGATTAATATATTTATTTGATGTAATAACTTATAATGTCTTACAATTGAATAAACCGTTTAATGTCTATGAGCGTGTTGCCTATATTAACATTTGATTTAGAATTATGGTGTCGCGGAAAACATGCCAGACAGCCTTAAGCAAGCGAAATTGAAAGCGTAGGCGTAAATCATTAGTCGATCGATTGCGTAAAGCGCTTCGAGTTAGCAAAGAAATCTTGGTCAAAGACATATTACAATATCAAATCTTTTAAAAATATATGTTTCTATTATACAAGAGATAAATGTCCAAAAAATATAATTATTCAACTAGGAAGTAATTATATATAAGAAATATTATATATGAAGTTGTAATTATTATCATCTCCTTCTGTACACTATTCTCTATGTGATTCACTGGTTATTATCAGGATAAATTTTATTTAAAGTTAGTAATGGAATCTTTCTCATTTCTTTTTTTTTTTTGTATACCTTATACGGTATGTGGAGCGATAATGCTATGTAACTATTATTCAGGATTGAGAAAGTTGCCATTTAAAAATAACTCGTTACCTATTAAAACTAGTAAACCGCTGTCATTTCTCAAGAAGCGACAAATCATTACAATTTCCGTTTGTATTAAATTTAAGGATCCTCTTTTTTTTATTGCCATATATTCCATCCCAGTAAATACAAATTATCGGTAACATAATATAAAAATGTCATAATTTTCTACTCCACAATATAAATATACAACGTGAGTGCTATGTAACAGAAGCACTTGTTGAATGGAAAATTATAACATTAATATTACGTACTGTTAGTTGATGTTTACTGAGATATATATGTGTTCTACATGTGCAAAGTCATGATAAAAGTAACGAGATTATGTAATCATTAACTAAAAAATGTAATTGTATTATCGCTATTATTGTTATTAACGAAAAAATGTTATAATAACGCCGATACTAAGTCGTTACTGAAACAAAGGTGGCTTGTAGCGGTGACAGCATTTTCCGCTAATAGAAAAGTAGCTTTAATAGAAGCAACTTCCCAATCCTGCTATTACCTGCGTGCAAAAATATTTTCTATGAACATTCGCTCTTACCCATACGATAGGACAATAATTTGCGGCTTCACAGGTCAATGGATCGAGTCGCCTCATTGCAATAGTCGACCAACGATAGTGAACCGCTTCCGCTTTGTCGTGGGAATGGAGGACAATTGTGATCACGCTATGGTGTTTATCGTGTTATTCTGTACGTGGTGTTGAGCAACGATTAATGCGATCTCTAATTCGAGTTTGAATTCGATTCGCAATAATTCAATACCAGACTGTATCCCATTGCTCTATTTTATAAATTATGCATTTTATCGGTAAAAAATCGAATGACTTTTTAATTAGATTACTCAATTACATAGATAATGTAACTAGGACTATAAACTAGGACTATAAACAGACTATAAACAGACATACACATTCGCGGACGCGTGAACGTAAATATAAACATGCCGATTAAATAAAAACAAAAAGAGCAATAAGAGTCTAACTTGCAGGCGTCTGTATGTAAATATCGATAACGAAATTTAAATTTTAGTGTCCGAAGATTTACGTAAATTGTTACAATTCACAAACACTCGAGAACACTGGCCTTTTTCTTTTTATTTATTTATATATCTAAAAAGAATTTTTCTTAACCACCTCTTTTAAAATTTCTTTTACCTTGCGGCTAATTAAACTAACTAATATTAACTTTTCTTATTTTAAAAAAATATATTTTTTTATTTCTATTTTATTTTACTTCCTATGCAGCTCTTTTTCATACCAAATATCATTTCTTAATATAATTATATTATAATTTTTGTTAAGAGGTTAATTAATTTATCTTTTATTATATATATATATATATATATATATATATATATATATATATATATATATCTTAGAGATATCTTCATGATATCTTCATGATATCAAATACATGAAGTGTAAAAAACATATCTGTACATAAAAGATGTATTGTATATGAAACGTGTATCGCAATTGTGCGAGAAAATCTTTTCTAACGATATGGAGGAATTTGTGCCATGGTTAGATCAAGTCTTAATAAATCATAAATCTATCCTTGTAAAATATGCCAAATATACAGTAGCTCGAATTAAAGTATTTAATACGCGAAATACGAAGGTCTTACGAAGTACAAGGAGGCTAGGTCGGTATGCACAAGTATAGAACAAGAGTTCTGTTCCGGGAGAGAAAGTGATTTATTGGTTAGTTGTAAAGGTTGGTATCTCGGAATTTAAGCGTACAACGCACATACTATATAAACTAACCAAAACAATACAAATAAAAACATGTCCTGATTGGTAAATAAGTTTCGAATATTTCCAATTTTTTTCAATTGTAGAAAGTCTGCTAGATATAAAAGAAACATTTTTGAAAGAATACATTATTCGTTAAATTTACTATATCGTTAAATTTATTCCAATTATTTCTGTATATTTTAGGTTGTCTCAGATTCCTTGAGGTTTCATGAAAGTTGAATTATTTAGATAGTATATTTTATAAAAGCATTATATGTGTGAAAGATCTTTTTGTTGCTATAATTTAGTAATAAATTTATAAAATTAATAATTGTATGTCCAAAAACATAACATTACATTAATTTTAATTATCTGGATCTCTCTACATAAGCGAGAATGTCGAGAGCGCCTCAAACTAACTAAAAGAGAGAGGAATTTATTTTAATAACTATGAATTAAATTTGCTTTTATATCCCTATTTTTTGTAACCTACGCTGTTCTATATAATTAAAGAGGGAATCCAACTTTCCAATTTAATTAATCAAATATGAAAATGCTAATCAGCTAACTTGGAATTGTTATTCTTGTAATAAAATGTCCGAGATATTCCTTTAGATTACCATATTTTTATTTTAATAAAGGAACAGCTTAATGGAACGAACGAAATAAATGTGTTAGACAGAAAAAATTATGATACAATAATCATGAGATTAAGATCGTTCAGCATGTCTCTATATAGTTACACCAATACATGTCCAAATCAAAAGTATCTGCAATAATGGGCGCGGTCTTTAGTTCCGGGCACTTTCGATCGATAGTAGTCGAGCCAAGGACGTCTACGTAACGGTTATAATTCTGTATTCCGAACAAGTGTCGTTTGTTACTATTTTTATATAATCTTTATGGTAAGAATTTATGTCATATAAGCCTAAATATTTATTAATCAGGTTATTCACATTTGTAACTAAATAAACATATTCAATAAACATATTAAATATTTAGCGTGATCTGTAGTATTATCTATTATTTAAAGAACAAGATATTACAAGATAAGAAATTTAATTGATAAATCATTGAGAAATAATTTGCTCTTTAAATTTAATATGTAAGTTACTTTTGTAACATCTGCAAACGTGTAATTTCAAACCTATGTGTTAACGAGTTGTACTAAATGTCGAACGTATGTGAAGGAATATAAAACTTTCTGCATGCGTGTACATATAGCAGGTTGCGTTACGTCTCATGCATATTTGCATCGATAAATACGATAAATACTTAAAACTAATATTTTGTTATAATTTCAGTCGAACTTCTCTTTCAACATTACCAAGTTTTATAAACTTTATGGAATATAACTGATCATTAGAAATGCTTGGATGATTATAATCGAATATACTGAGAGAAGAAATATATAAGAACTACTAAATATTAATTTTATGAGTATTAATTGCAAATTTAGCTATACTAATATAAAATATTTTTCAAATAATAAATTATATATTTCCTTAAAACTTTAAGGAAATCTTAATTTTTCATGAAAGCAATTATTTACTCTATTAAAATAAAAGAATTTAGATTTAAATAAATATACTGTTATCAAATAAATATTTATTAACTTTTAGATATTTTCTCTCTCAGTATACATACTTCAAGAAATACAACTAGAAATGATTCGCCGTAAAAACGGCATTTTGATGTCATTTCAATGTCGAAAGTTGTCGATTCAAAATATACATCGAGAATTTGACATTTTTTAACAAAAAGTTGCATGCGCGGGAATCTTTTTTCTCGAGATTTAATATTACATTATGACAATTGCATTTGTGTATAAATTATAAAATAATTCCAGTAGTCCAATCTCCCAATTTTTTTTATATATAAATCATAATTAATTGAAAAAGGATAAGATTTTTTGTGGAAAAAATTTAACAATATTTGTAATATTTCAAACGAAAATATTCTATCTTGTCCAATATATATATATATATATATATATATATATATATATATATATATATATATTGTAGGAATATAACTAAAAAAAATCAAACACATTAATTATAATTATATCCTTACTAATTCGAAAAAACATCAGATAGTTTTGCCAATTATTGTAACGCCGAACATTCACAAGACATTTTCGTCGCTATCGATTTCCCATCATACGATTTCCCTTCATTCTGATGAAATTACTAAGTTTCAACTCGCATGACTAAAAAGAAAACAGAAAAATACGCACGAGGGCATGAATGTTAAGTAGCCAATCATAAACCACTCTCTTCGTTTTTCAACGAGGAAGGATTTGCACGAAACTGGTTAAAGTTCACGTTAAATTCTATAGTCTTCGATTGGCCCGTTTGACGAGGCGGAGATGTAGGTGTGCCGCCTTTGGATAAAGCGAATGTGCGTACAAGTAAAAGTACGTACGTGTTTCGTTACACAATACGTTCGAGTGTGGTCTCCAGTCTCTTAAGTCGGTACTGGTAAATTGGATCAGTCGGTGTTCAGTCAGGAAAACTCGTGGTACACACCTCCGGTATATATTCGATATTTACCACTCGCTCTTTAAACTTACTTCGAACAGTGGTGAAGCTTTGATTTGCACTTCAATTGACGAGTCTTTAACCATGAGGTGAGTGATCAATAAGTAATCTATGGTATACAGTTAGTTGATAATTATAATTAATCGTTGAATATAGAGAAAATTAATTAATCAACAAATAGCGCAATTTTCAAAAGTGATTTTCAATTAAATCACCAGGAAACAATATTTGTCAAATAAAATTGTGCAGGCTGCCATCTTTCACACATGAAATGTTCGTTCTTTAAATGATTTCGTTAGAAATTTTTAAATTTAATTGACGGAACGCGAAAGTTTTGTAATTCTCACGTGTTAATGAGAACTTTAAATAAAGAATTTAGACATTTCTCTGTTTTTTTTAAGTCTCAGAATATAATTACATTTATTTTTTTCTTATTCTTTTTCATCCAAATGTTTCAAAGAACATTTTCTTTGATTTTTTCTTCTATTATCATTTAACGTTTAAATACTTTTAAATATCTTTTGAATAAACTTATTAGATTAGTGCAAACAATTTTTTATTTAATATTTGAGGCTTTTGCAGTGTCCATGAATATTAGATTTGGTTTCCGGGTTTGAGCCGCGTGAATTTTTCTTTGTCTAATTCCGAACATTTCAGTCCACTTCATCAGGGAGGAACACCCCACATCGGATCGTTCCTCCCTGATGAAGCAGACTGAAATGTTTGCGAAATGTCGGAATCAGACAAAGAATCCACGCAGCTCAAACCCGGAAACCAAATCTAATAATTTTTAATTTATCTATTAAATTTCAAATATTTTGAATGTCAAAAGGAAAATAGAAAGTCCTTATTAGATAACAAAAAAATACAGAAGGAAAAATCAAAATACATGTTTCTCAAGCATCTCGATGAAAAAAAATTTTTTAAATACATATAATCACATTGTGTGTGTGGCCTTTTTTTAAATAGAAATATCTAAATTCCAATTTGAAGTTCTCTTTAACGCGCGAGAACTACAAAACATTTTTCCTTTTGTTAATTAAGTATATTTTTAACAAAAAGTAGAATCAATGTTGTTAATTCATTTATTATTCAATTATTAATTTTTCGAAATTGAAAGATTTTGTTTTTTATTTTATTTGACAAACACGACATCTTTTTTACGTCAATCTAAGATTTAAATGTTTTTGCCTATTTATTAATTAGGTACGTAGCGCTTTTTGCGATTATTTTACCACCACTATACGCCGAGAGGTGGGCGGGAAAGTTGGAAACCTTAGCGCAATGGCCGTTACTTGATTTCGCATTGCCATACGATCGTGATTTTCACGATCAGTATCGGCCAGAAAATGTGGTGATGACCGGCATCGAAATAGATTGGGACAGAGTTTTTGTCAGCACACCCAGATTGCGCGCGGGGGTGCCTGCTACCTTAAGTTTCTTCCCGAGGAACGTACCTCTAGAAAGTAGTCCGCAACTTCAGGCATACCCTTCGTGGGATTGGCATGGTGCCGGAAAAGGCGAAATTAACTGCACCAAGTTAATTTCAGTATATAGAACCAGACTGGATCGATGCAACAGATTGTGGGTCGTTGATGCTGGCGTCATGACGTCTATTGATGATTTTATGCCCGTTTGTCCACCGAAAGTCGTAGTCTTCGATATGAAAACCGACCAGGTGGTGCGTCACGTTACTTTTCCACGTGAGGTAAGTGAGGTATTTTTCTTATAATAGAAAATTACAAATTGCACGTTTGTAACGGGAATAATTTTAATTTTAAATTAAAATGACAAAGTCCACAAATTTTTGGACAAAGTTCACAAATAATAAACACTAGTTGAAAGTTAAACACTGTTCGCATCTAATAGGTGCGTTATTATAGGGTAAACTCGGTTATTATGGCCATAAATTATTATGGCCGAAAAAGATAGCAATAGACCGTAATTTCTGTAATAATTGAAAAACATTGCGTTTGTGTAATCAATCGCAAAGATAATCGATATTTATTGTAATGTATATGCGTATATTTTTCGAAATAGCAAGATTATGAATATTACACTATATTTTTATTTTCGACTATCTGTAAAATTTCTCATATGTCCACTAAAACAGCTATAACGTCGAATAAATTATAGTTAAGCTATCGCAATTAACGTTAGATACGTAAAGTAGGTACGTAAATTATAACATGCATTTTTATTTTTGTTTTCACTATTTGTTAAAAATACTGGCCGTCTTTCACTCATATTTGATCCATTATCATTCAATGAACATTTATAAAACGAAAGTCGTTATATTTCAAAAATTACCTTTACTATCCCTTATAGAAATATCATACTAAGAATCATTGATAATTACTTATTTTCAGTATTAAAAATACTGGATAATAAGTAATTATCAATAATTCTTAGTATGATATTTCTATAAGGGATTACAATAATTAAATCTTATGTGCAATATGTTTCGATCAAAAGATTGCATTTAGAATTTAAGTTTTGTAATAGAAATTTCTATTTTATATATGTATTATATTTTTCACAAATAATATGCAATAAATATCTTATACTAAAATAAATATGTCAAATTATGCTTTTTTCATTATTTTATAAAATAATAGGTACAGAAACTTGAACATAAAATATATATGGGCTATCTATTAATGTTATGGCCATCTTATCTGAAAAATTTAGGTAAGATGACCAATGCTCATGTTTTGATATTTTTATATATTTATATATAAATAATTTCAATGAGAAGTATTTTCCTTTTAACTCTGATGGTACTGTAAGCTTCAGTGAAATAATATGCCAAACGCTATTAAGAAATAATAATAAGAAATGTATTTCTTTTTTTTGCATTTTAAAAAAGTATGGCCATCTTATCCGAGTTTATCCTAAATTGGTTATGAAAAAGCATATTGTAAAAAACGAAACGATTAGTGAATAGTCAATATGGATTATTTTTATTTATAATTATAGTAATAGAAACCGGTTGCTTTATGTAGCTAAAGGTTAATGAGAGTAAAATAATTGTATATTGATATATTACATATTTGTCCTAGAGAGAAAACAAGTTACATTCATATTACCTCTGTGTAGAATTATGCAAAAAAATATTTGACCTAAATAATTATTATTGTATATATTTTTTAGGTTTTAAGACCGAATACTTTGTTGACTAATATCGTCATCGATGAAGTTGCAGCAAAAACATGTAATGATGTATTTCTTTATATGACTGATACCGCCGGCCCAGGTAACGTTTACTACACTTCTTTATCTTCATTTAATTATTAGTATAACTAAAAATTATTGTACTTCAAGTTTGATTAAGATAAATCTTTAATATAGAGCCGACTTTACTCATTTTCTTGATATTCATATATTTTTTATATTTCGTTATATTGATTCTAAATTTATTTCCATTGACCATGCTATATATGTAGCTTACAAAAAGCTTTAGGCATCTTTAAGAATTATATATTTTTTAAATATCTGTGATGAAGATAAAAAACGTGATGATATATTTTTAGGAATCCTCGTTTTCGATGGTGCTACTGATAGAAGTTGGCGATTACTGCACGCATCGATGTTCCCTCATCCGGATCAAGCAACGTATAAAGTGGGTTTACTTATTTATATAATGTAGAATGAGTACAATAAATTTATAATAAATAATAAAAATTAAGGTAACTTGATAACATTACTGACAATATTAGAATGATACGCTTGAAATATTAGATTCTGACTGATGCTTGAAGATACACGAAAAAAGTTCACGCCAAATATACAAACAGATATAACAACCTTATAAAATATAGTTATATTTTCTTAGAGCGCATAGTGTATTTCTTATAGAGAACTCTAAAATTGTATATTAAGTTAACTTCATGTATTAGGGTTATTGTATCGGCATATGTACATGACATATGAAAGATGATTATGTGACCAATGTCGAAGCACTACCAACTATTTAAAAATTACTGACTCTATAATATATGCATTCAAAACACAATCTAGAATTCCTTTGGTTTGTAAAAAAATTTTATGCAACATATAGTTATCATATAGTACATATAGTTATCATATAGTACAATATACATATAGTACAATATATATCATGGCATTATATGGATTATATAAAATTAATTATAAAGTAAATAATAATATAATCCAGCGGGTCATCTAACTGTCTAATTGTATTAATTTCGTCTAATTGTATTAATTTCGTGTTTATTTTTGAGAAATATTAATTTTGTAATGTTACATGTACAAAAAATCCCTATCTTAGATTTTTCTTGATACATATACATTTCAAGTAAAGTTAAACAGACATTTCTTTAGATCGGAAGCGACACCTTCGAGTTCCTGGATGGTGTGGTGGGCATAACGTTTTCGCCAAAGCTTGGAACCGTGTATTATCAACCTCTGGCGACTGATCGTATCTTCAGCGTGCCTACGTCAGCATTACAAGCCGGACCGCTGTCTTTGGGTGAACAGTTACCTGTGACCTTAGTTGGTAGAAAGTCGAGTCAAGGTCTAGCACTGGCAGTGGATCCTCAAGATGATTCAATCTTTTTCTCCCCCTTTACTGAGACTGCGATCGCATCGTGGCAACCGCAAACAAATCAACAGAGGTATCCTGACAGAACATTTTTAATATTAACATATTTAATATTAATTTTAAATATTAACTTATTCTCAAATTTGTGACTACATATTGACATAATAAGCAGCACAAAGTTAAAAGTGCTGCGCTGCACACGCGCACACGACGATGTCAATTTTTACTATCGTAAAAACTAAGCAGCAGGTTCATGCCAATATCAAAATAATTTTATCGCATATATAAATTGCGTCTGTCACTTAAACCATATCTATATTTTTGATAAAGTTAGTTAATAGATCTACGTTAACAAATACATTCACGCACTTATTTTGCATGTTCGTGACTAATTTTACTATAATAGAAAAGTCGTTAAAAAAAACTGAGTATTAAAAGTATTTTATGTTTAATTTTATACAATAATTTCTGAAATATAAGGGGGAGTGTAGGAATGAGGTATAAATTATGATTGCAAAACACTTTTATAGAACATATTTAGTTATATAATTACATAGTATATAATATAGTTATATAATCGTATAGTATAGTGTGTATAACATATGTCATGGTATATTATATACAGACTATATAGTTATAAATTATTATTTTATATATAATTATAATATCGCATGATCGCAATTGTTATCTCTTCTACTGTCTTTTTTCAGGATAATCGTTTATAGCCCAGAAGAATTGCAATTTACTGCTGAGATCAGATGGGCGGAACGCGACAACGGTAATTTTTGGGTAATGTCGTCGAGATTCCATAAGTTCTTCCTGAAACAAGTCGATACTCGTCAAAATAATATTCGCATTATGAGAATTAAAATGAACAATCAGATACTAGCTGCAACGCCTCTTGTTCAACATATTAATCCATATTATCCATTATATTTCTATAATGATACTTTAATATACTAAAAAAGAATTTTGATGCAATAGTAAATAAAGTTATAAACATAAAAGCATTTACAATAGAAAACGGAAAATAAAAATATTGATAAAAAAGTTATCGATGAAACTTATTTCTCTGAAAGAGGATCTTATATAATTATTATCTTTTTTAATATAATTACATAATTATCTATATTGTATAACACATACGATGTATAAATTTTGAACTATATTGCAGCCAGAAACTACAGGAATTTAAAACTTTCCGTTCCTCGTTTGCAAAAGATAAGGACTTATTTTTCCCTTTTAATAACATTGTATTTGTTTATCAGAAATAAGTTTATCAAAGAGATAAGTTTGTCAAAAGTAAAAAAATGTCATTAGTCGGACATGTCACTTTCTTTTAAAATTTATGTTTATAATACATTCCATACAACACAATGTCTAAAATCGGGGACATAAGACGTTCTAAAGACGTCTTAAAGTCATAAGGACGCCTTATATTCTGATGACTGAGAGACATTTTTAAGACGTCTTTCAGACGTCTGACCTTATATAAGGTCAGAATATGCAGGATGTCTGACATAACTCGAATGTGCAGATAGAACTCATCAACCAGAACACAATTTAGAGTTTCTTTAATTTTTAAAGTAATTTTATGCGACATATACTATAGCTATCGTGTAATATAATATATCATGGTATTACACGAATTATATAGTTTGAGAATGCAAAGTTATCATAGAAAACCACCTTTATATAAAAATCTTCTATTACTTTACTACTTACAGTTTATCATTTGCATTTTATAAGATTCACGTCAAATTTTGAATTATTAGTTAAAGAAGATTGATAAATGTGAATCGCGCGATATATATATATATATATATATGGTACAAAGTATGGTAAATACAATATCCCATTATGCACTTGTGCATTAAGTCAAACTGAACAAAAAAAAATCCTCTACACGGAAAAAAGGATTGGTTGAATTAACAAAATATCTGGTCGAATATGAACGATCCAGAAATTCCGATTGAAGTAATCTGAATTCTGTTTAAGTTAACAAGATTTTTTAACTTAAACAGAATTCGGGTTACTTCAATTGGAATTTCTGGATCGTTCATATTCGACCAGATACTTGGTTAATTCAACCTAACTTTTTTTTCCGTGTACCATTTGGTAAATAAGCACATAAATTTTTGAGCTGCTGATTATAAAAGATTGTCGAACGATTGTGCATAGTTATGCATCAAACTTTTTTAATTAATAACTCAAAATTTTATGCGGTTGTTTGCAAAATACGTTCTATGTGTATATGTGAGTTGCGTCACTCTATATAATAATTCCAATTTTTTGTAATATTGTTTTCTTTACTACTGGATATTTTTTCAGGAATAATTTATAGTAGAGGAATTTTATACTAACTTCGGTAAATGTTTACCTTTACACAGCCAGTTCCAAATGATTTCCGAGTAACCTTGATGTTGACCTTGATTCTCAAGGAAATCAATGTTATTGACCTTTATCGGCGCTCATTGTTTGTTAAAAAGTTATTAACAAAAAAAGTTGAAGTTAGAAGTTGAACGTAATTTTTGCACACAGTATATATGGAAATACGGAAATATTTACGCATCTTCTATAGTTTCCAAAATATTAATAAAAAAAAGTAACATACACACACACTGTTCGCCTGTACGCGCGCTCGCCCACCCACCCGGGCGGGCTCGCGGTGTATGAAGGTGCTCGTATTATATTTAAAGTTTTATAAATACACACTTTTTCTTAATAATATAAACACGGATATATGGCGGTTGCTTATAGTTTCAGAGGTATTAATAAAAAAGATGCCTGTCTCTAGCCGTGTAACTGGAGGGCTATGCCCCGCACCGCGGCGAGGCACGTCTGTTGTACTTAAACTAAAGAGTGAGAATTTTTTACAAAAGAGTGAAAAAAAGTATGTATTTATAAAACTTCAAATATAATAGAAACACACGCACACACCGCAAGCCCGCCCAAGCGGGCGGGCGAGCGCGCATGCAGGCGAGCAATGTGTGTATGTGTATACGTACGTACGTATGGCTGGCACCTTCCTAGCCTACAAATTCCATGTTTTTGTATATATATACATATATATATATATATATATATATATATATATATATATATATGTGGGTGTCTACAAATAACATTTATTTTATGCAACTTCTTTTGTTAACAACTTTTTAACAAACAATGAGCGCCGATAAAGGTTAATAGCATTGACCACCTTGAGGGTCAAGGTCAACATCAAGGTTACTCGGAAATCATTTAGAGCTGACTGTAAATGTAAACATTAACTCTAACTTCCAATAATGTTCATTAAGAACTATTTTTTATTCACGAGCTGTTTGATTGCGTCCAATAACTACACAGAAAAAAAGAGATGTAGTGCACCTAACAAAAAAATATTTAGTTGTAAGCAAATAGCTGCATCATTCTACATATCTTTGTATGATAGTTATATATATGGTTGATTTGGCTTACTTACTTTAGTGTGTCAACTACATCAATGAAGTTGCGCGTGATCTGATTGTAGCAACCAGAAATTAGTAAGGAGATCATTTTGCATAGACAAGCTAAATATCGATATAGTTGCATTAATCAATGCTATATTGCAAAGCAGCGATGTTAGAAAACAAAAACAATTCACTACGCGCACAACTAAAGATATATACATGTGAAAACTGGTTCTGAATGTATAAACATACATTTGTAGTTGCCGCGTAATGAACCACGTTTGTATTAACCATGTATTATCACTGTTGCAACATAAGTAACAGCCATTGCTCTTTGGTTACAGCAACCACATAAATAGTTGTTCCGTATTTTACTATTGAATCTGGTTGGCACAACCAGATTTCTGTGTGAATCAACCATATTGTTTTTTCCGTGTAGGTTTAATTCAATATTGCCGGGTTTGCAGATTCTTCTGTACGTAATAATGACATTCGCATTGTCTTACAATTTGTGCAATCTGAGAAAAATGAATTTTACATCCACAATATTTTACATTCGTAAAAGTTCACAATTACAAAAAATTTCTATAATTTAAAATTAGTAATTAAGGTAGTACATGCACAAAACAAATTATCCAAGAATTCGTTGAAATTTACATTATATATAGATTTAAATATTATCTAATTGTTGGTGTAATTAGAAATAGATTGACTGATGCGAAAACTGAGATAACGAAAGTCCAAGTTAGCACTTTTAACGTGTATTACATTACAAAAATGGCTTCCGATAAAATATTTCTAATTTTGGTGATCAAACTACATCCAACAATTTTATGAAAAATTACAGTAATATTCAAGACTAATGTACTGCTATAATACAAAAATATCATAATTTTTGACTACATAGTTTTAAAGATATCAATGTCTAAATGTCCCAATGTATAGTATTATTGTAAGTACGAAGAGTTGAGGCATGAAGTGTGGCAACAGCGTATGGTTAGTATGCGTTCGTTGGGATGCGCCACTGTTTATATGTGTGTGTGTGTCTGTGTGTGTGTGTGGTAGGGACAGTTTCAGTCAAAATGAATTGGATACGCACGTAACCAAGGAAGAACTTTTTCTTTCTACTGTAGGACTGAACTTTTTGATAGTACTGTTGCGCTAGTACTACCTTAAATTACAAAAAATGTTCTAATATGTAACTAAATTCATCCCAAATATGATACTGCTGGTGCCATTACAACAAAGTTACATATATATATCGATGTTATAACAATTTCCAGCAACAGTAGATTAAATATAGATTAATATCTGTCACAGTTATAAGTTTACGATTTATAATAATAAATACGTAATAAGAGAAATTTGTTCTGTAATTTAATAATAATAATACAGTAGATTATAAGTTCTTAGTTTAAACATATAGATTATATCCTTACTTAAAAATTTTCAATCGTTCGAGGTTTTAAAAAGAAAAATGGGTCATCTGAAACGGTATATCTCGCCACTCCGCAACGTCAAGTCGTTATGGTCGTTATGGTCCATAAAATCAACGGTGATCAAATGTGTGGTTACGTCTGCCTTCGAAGTCTAGAGGTATTCTTAGCTCACGTTGCAAATAATTTCATATTATAAATATAAAACGCAACATTTTTAAAAGGAAAGGAAAGTATTGATTGCGCGATCGATTTCGTAAACGAGAAGTTAATTCTTCCTACGATAACGCAGTAATTGTGTTTTTATCTCCTTTAGTAGAATATATTTTTAAGTAATATTAATAAAATATTCGACAATTGTGCTTTTATATATTAATATTTAATATTAAATCATATTCGCACAGATATATATTCGCTAATATTCGCTACTTGAAACAGTTAGAGGACCATATTAAACTTTATATTTGTGTAGAATATAATTGTGGAAAATTAAAATTAAATATTAAAGAAATAAAAATTAATTTACAAAAATACTTACTGTACGATGTAAATATTAATATTTGAGAAACAATTTTTTAATTGTTTCTTGTTGTAAATTTTTAATTAAATATGTGCACATGTATATCTCGTATATGCATTATTTGCTTGTATTGCCGAATCCAATACAAATATTAATTTTGAGTATTGTATCCTTTCTTTCTCATATTATATATATATAATGTCCGTAACTACAGTACAATACAAACTATTAATATGTCTGATAAAGTATATTAGTAGTCATCGATTATTCCCATACGTCATTTGTTCCTGCTGATAATGAAATGAAAGATCATCCTTCCACTTTATCGGAGTGCAATCGCCACGAGTTATTACGCATTAGAATCTCCCATAATGACTAATGCGTTGACTCGAAAAAGCCCGACACGCAAACTGCATTTATGATTGTATATATTTACAATATGTGTGCATATGCGCATTTTTGTCTATCAGTTACACGTAGAAGAATATACATTCGACAAAGTCATATTACTAGAAAAATACATTTATGCAGAATAGTAGTGTCCATTGCTTGCGGATGACATCAGCATTCGCCTCGTCGTTCTTTCTGTTTAAACCTGCTCAAAATGCCAGATGAGGCAAGTGATAAAACGAAACAATAATAAAGCAAAAACGAAATGCTTTGTTGAAAATACAAATAAAACACCAATATTCGTTACTTTATAATCATTATTGTTGATCACGATCAATTTTTGCAGAAAATATTTGGAACAAAAAACATTCAAAAATTAAAAATTAAGCAAAATTTAATTTTTCGCAGAAAATATTTGGAACAAGAAGCGTTCAAAAATTAAAAATTAACCAAAACTTCGTTAAACTTAGAATTAAACTGAATATAATTTGAAAATTAAAATATATTAAAAAATTAAATTTTGAAATGTATTTCATATAATAATTATTCATATATTGTGTTTACGCTTTTAATCAACGATTTTTTTTATATACTCTTTCGCAATTAATTTTATTTCGCTTCTACTTATATTAAACATTATAAATAAAAAAATAAGTTTACTACTATAATAAAAATTTACATGTTATACAAGAAGGACAACAAGAGGGAGAAAGAGAAAGAGCTAGATAATATAGAGCGGTATGTAATCATGCGTGCAGCATGATTACTTCGGCTGCTGTAACACTTTTCTCGAGACGTCACCAATCCCGCAATTTTCTCGTCAATGATATATTGCAGAAACAAATATCATTCGGATATCGTGACCCAGAACAATAATCTTATCAGACACATGGTGCTCCGGCAAAGTATCCACCTCTCTTCGACAGTTTCATTCTAGTGGAGCGGAGATGTTCGGGCATGTTGTGTAAAGTTACGCGTCACCTTTCAGAGATCCCGCAGTCGTTCCTCAGTCGCCTTCCAGCTAGGAGCTTGATCATAAGAGCCACTTTCCATCTTCCTAAATTAATTCATATCGACTTGCCGTTTACTATTATCAAGAAATGCATTCTCAACCCGTCTAATTTGTCACCGATACATATTGAAAATATCGCTGGTGTTCTTGAAAGAGGAAAATACAATAACGAGAGAAGCAAACACGTGACGTCAGGTGACTAGTGAAAGAGAAAAACACGAAGAAAAACATTTGTTCCCCTGAATATTAAACGATTGGCATTGTGACGTCTGACAGCTGATTAAACAAGAATAGAGAAAAGAGGCCAGCTTTGTATATTAATCGTTAACGCTAGCGAGCATAACTGCATCCTGTCTTTTCTTTTCGCGACAGTGAAAGTACCAGGAAAGGAAAGAAAAAAGCCGGCTATCTCTTTAACGATACTCCTATTTACGAAAGAACGAGTAAGAAGGGCATCGTCGCAAGTCAGTACACTTTCAACGAATTTGCAGAGAAACATAATAACGTGAAAAACCGTAACATCATCGTTCATGTCATCGCGCTGTGTCGTGATTGACGATTGATAAGTACAGAGGTATCATCATCAAATTCGCAACTACAGGTAAGGTCATTTCGTTATCAAAAAAATAATCAACATTGAAGTCGATCGATATAGTTAAATAGTTCGTAAACATGTTTGAAGATTCGACGTAAAGAAAATATTGTACATTGTCATATTTTCTAAGGGAGATTATCCTCCTTGCATAAATTTCTATAATAAAAAAACTGTCAAAGAAAGTTGATACATTCTTTAAATAAGTATTAAGTAATATAAACGAAATATGCATTATAACGATATTTTCATCGTTTTCATATTATGAATTATGAACTTCTTTACGGGAAACAAAGAGATTTTTTCATTTGAAAATGCGTTATGCGCAATTACATATATGTGATGTTACAATATCAGAGATGACACTTACTATTGTGATGAAGTTATATACAAAGTCAAGTTGCAGATATCCGGATAAATCATTATTTGGATATGTTCAAATAGTGACGTCATCGTCTATTCGTACTCTGGATATTTTGGAATATCCGGGTATTCTCCTGAATGGTTTAAAAATGAATATTCGGATATTTATATAATAATACGGATAGAACTATTTGAAAGATAAAGATCGCGTTGCAAATATAAAACTAGTTGTTTGAAAGATTTCTCTCTCAAAATTTCAAGAAACATTTCTGTACCTTTACAACTGAATTTAGAAGCTCAAAAATATATAAAAAATTTGCAGAAAGATTTCTATATATGCATGGTTATGTTTCCTGCTAACATGATAAAACAAAGCACATATTTATATAAGATCTATATGTATACGAAATATTAAAGTGGTAGCATGAATCGAATTAATGTTTATTTTATGTTTCGACGATTATTAATTCAAATGTTATTGTCGAATTATTTTTGTTGCGGCAACGAACTACGTGGAATTTCACAACACTTAATACCTCATATAATAACGAGAATTTTGTTTTACTAACTATTTATAAATATATTGTGATATATTTGTTATATATATTCATATATATATATATATATATATATATATATATATGTATATATATAAATAAATATATTTTGATATATAATATAGCGATATAAATATAAATATATATATATATATATATATATATATATATATATATATATCTTTATTGATATGATACATCATGTCATGATCGACAAAAACAAATAAAAAAAAGAAAAAACAAAAATAACTTCAAAATACAACTTTCCGATACCTAAAGGGAAATCCAACAAAAAATATCACTTGTAACTAATTGTTATAAATCATTAAAATCGATAAAGTCGTCGAAGAGTTTAACGCTAGTTATACACAATTGAATGTATTCGAATATCTATATTACCTGGATATTCAAATAATACGAATAGTATTATCTGCACTACTCATGGCATGAAGTATCTAAATATCCAGATAATATCTGTGAAACAGATTCTATGTGTAGACATATATTGTATTCGGATATCCAAATAACAGTATGACACGGATTCAAGTAACAGCACTAATAATTTGGCAACTACACGGAGAAATATAATTTGCTGGCATAATTTTGCAGCAAATTTTCTGCTAGCAAAATCTTTTCGTTATTATATGGATAGCAAAAAGATTTGCTAAGAGTACTAATTACTATTTGCTGAATATAATTTGTCGAATCTATAAATAATTGCTGTAAGAATCATAATGGATTTAAGCAGTTTCAGTTTTAATTCGATGAGAGTAACGACAATTATATTACGGAAATATGCAGATAATAATGATTAAGTTGTATTAAATAATAATATAAAAAATAATATAAAAAAAAATATCAAGTTGTATTAAGCATATAATTAGTTCATTAATGGTATATACATGTAGAAATATCAACATCAGACGAAGTTGAATGTAAATTTGAAAGCAAGCCATTGTTAACGAATATTTGCACAAAACTTAAAATACAATAAGCACAAAAATCCAAATTCTTTTACATCTATATCAACAGCAATTTTCAAGTAATTTCCTTATGTAATTTTTGCTGGTGAAAGTTATAAAATTAGTTATAAAAGTATAAAATTAGAAAGTAAGCTCTAACTAATTCGTTACTCTCATTCGTACAACGAACCCATATAAATACGTTCGATACTTGACATTTAATTCTTGATTACATCTAATGTTAAAAGTGCAAAGATGTACCATTTATGTATTTCGAAACATGTAAACATTTAATTAACTACGAATTAAAACGTACCAAAACAGGTTTTTAACTGCAGTAAAAGATTACTTAATTGCACTTAAGTTAAGATGGTAAATGATATGTTTAATATTTTGAAAAAGAAAAATGCATTAATACTTATTAAAATATATATGCATTTAATGATTTTTATTCTCTCGGTAAATGTTATTTATGAATTACCACAAAATTATTCATTTATTATTCCTTCGTGCATATCAGAGGATTGTATAACTCGTTTACAGATTCACGATGGAACTTGGAGCAGACCGGTTATTGCGGATTATCATACCGTTCCTCATTCTTGGGGTGTGCGCCAGTATTGATAAATTAAGGGTCCTGTATTCCTGGAAGACCATGAAGTTCGCCTTTCTGAGCGAGCATGAAAAAGAAACTGCCATACGAGACGGTCGTTTTATTGATGGAGCTTCGATACCAATTGACATGGATTTTTATTTTAAAGGTTTTAAACAGTTTTAATATCACAAGAACACTCGAATCTTCCAGTCATTGTAACAAATATCTTATACTCAATTACTATGGACAATTGCCGACCAAAATATTTCAATATCTTTATCTTATTTTGCTATTTATGTTTTATTTTGTCGATTACTCCAACATTTTATATTTTTATAATCAAATCTTGATTTGATCATCGTTTTATTTGAGTATAACTATTACCGCTTGATAATCATTGTCCTTTTATGTGACGAAGCGAACTTAATAATTTATTCGAGGATTTTCGTGTAATTGTAACTTGTAATGAAAAAATTTACGCGATTGCATAATCAATCACGATACAGTAATTCGTGTTATCACATGACCCATTATAGAGACGCGAGATAATTTACTAACCAACAATCAGGATTTACGCATAAACGTTCCTAAATATTCTTTCAAAAAGAAGAATATTAAGAAGTTATCATTTCTGCTTCACAAGTGTAGTACGTGGAAAAGTCATATATTCCCATAGTATTTTCAACCGCCAAATTCAATTTTATTTTTTTATCTCATAATTATTCAAATTTTTTATCTCATAAATTATTCAAATTTATACGAAATTTGTAACTTGTAGTTTTTTAATAAAAATGCATAAAATTCATAGCGAGTCATTTGTTCAAAGATTTGTTATTCAAGATCTTTTAGTAATAAAAATAGTCTCGCGCAGAATGGAGAGTTAGATAGTTTGAAGTCATCTTATCTAACATTTAATAGCTATTTTAATGAATAGCTAAAGGATCGACAGTCTTCATCACGATACCAAGATTTCAAAACGGAATACCAGTCACCCTTGGCTACGTCACGAATAATGCCGAAGATGGACAACATCTAATTGCACCGTATCCAAATTGGGAATGGAACAAATTGGGGAATTGCGATGCGATCACCAGCGTTTTCAGAATACAGGTAATGAACAAGTTACCTTCGAGTTGGTAAAGTAAATCAAAATTTAAAACTGTATTTTTGTATTTAGTATTCGATAATACACTGATAAGAAATATTTGAAAATTTACTTATAGAAGATATAAAGTTTATTTCTATAAATACTCTATATACCACAAATAAATTTTAAAGTATTTTTTTTAGTGTATTATAGAAAAAATTAATAAGAATTGTATAACCAAGTGAGTTGCATCGAATTTAAAATTAACATCGAATCTAAAACTTTATTTCTTTTCTATTTATTACAACCGGATCTACTATAAGCCTTAGAGCTAAAAATTTCGCTGATTGTCTCATTATTGGAAATTACTTCCACGTAATTTACTCACTTAAAGAAAGGAACAAACACATATCACGTGATGATACAACACAATATGGAAATAACGCCTTCATTATTATTCCAGAAACATAGATAATGATCCGATCATGTAGTTTACACAAGGAACCTCTTACACATGACGCGATATAAATTACAGTAATTATTAGTATTTGACACAACTATTTTGCATACAGTAGTGTTTTTTTATTTTTTTCTTTTTTTACGAAACACAATTATTATTTAACACGTTTCGTGTTGCATAAGTTACCGTTTCATGTTACCATAAATAAATTAATTAATTAATATTTATTTTCTCATTTATTTATTTATGGCAAAAACGATGTATAAAATAAAATTTTTAATTAGTAAAGTCTACTAATATATCAAGTCACAGCAAAGATTTTTCCGATCTCAATTCTTCAGGTTTTTATCTGTAGGGACATTTAAAGTCTGTTGTTTATGCACTTACAATTGAAAATGAAGAGACGTTTTACCAACATACTTTAAATGTAATTTTGTAAAACCACACAAGTTGATAGCTTTGATATTTTCGGACTGTGATTGAACAGGCAACGATCCGACGTGTCGTTGCCTGTTTTCAACCAATGATGGACATTTCGAATTTATCATGAACTGTAATACAACTCTAGTCACGTATAATGAGACACGGAATATATGTTGTACTTATCATATCATCATTTTTATGACATGAATATATTTCCGTGCTTACCTTCCAACACATATCGAATCAGCACGTGTTATTGTGCACATTTAAGTATCATATTAAATACCTGCGCAACGACACGTGTTAAATCGATAGAAAGAAAGAGAGAGAGAGAGAGAGAGAGAGAAAGACAACGACACATAAAGAATTATTAGAATATTTAATGATATTCTAACTCTATCTCTCCATCTTTCCTTTCCTTCTTTTTGGAATTTCTTTTTAGAACCTAATGATAATTTAATGATAATTTAATGATAATTTAATTATATATAATTTAATGATATAATGATAATTTAATGATATATAATAATATCTATTCATGAGATAAAATTTCATTTGTTTCTTAGTGCAAATAGCGTGTAATACGAGAAATTTATTTATTATAGATTATGTTTGAAATATTGTATGTAGGACACAATTATAAGTAATATCTCAAATCGCGACAATCGGTGAATAGATTTTTCTCGAATCATAACGATATACATTCAATATAGCACATACGTTTTCACTAAGAAATAAACGCTGGAGTATAGTGAAGAATATAAGTAAAATTATGATCATAGGTGGACTCTTGCGAAAGATTATGGGTCCTCGATACAGGCAAGCTCGGTAACCGACAACTCTGTCGTCCTCAACTGCTGTCGTTCTCGCTGCAGACAAACAAACTCTTGACCCGATACAAATTCCCCAAGGAACAGTTCAAGGACGATTCATTGTTTGTCGCGCTCACGGTCGATATTCGTGACAGTGGAGTGGGAGACAAATGTCGCGACACGTTCGTCTACATCGCCGATGTAACCGGATTTGCATTGATCGTCTACGATCATCAAAACTCCCATTCCTGGAAGATTAACAACAAACTGTTCTTCCCTTACCCACCTCACGGAACATATCATATAAGTGGGCATACGTACGATCTCATGGACGGGATTATAGGTCTCGCCCTAAGCCCCGTAAAGGAGAACGGTGACAGGATCTTATATTTCCATTCCATGGCCAGCAGAGTCGAAAGTTGGGTGCCCACTTCCGTCATCAGGTAAGAAAACGAACTAAAGTTTACTCACGCACGTGCAAAGAGTTAATTGAACATGCGTGTTGGCCGGTTTCTGCATTCGAAATACCTCACATATTTAAAATCTGCTTGATCTGTGTTCTACGTAATTCTATTTGTCAGATATATATATTTATAAAACAATATAAAATAATTCTATTATACTTCATGCTTCGGATTTTTATAAGATGTCTTATTTCTAATATTCTTTTTGTTCAAATTTTAAATAAAACAAAAGTAAAATAGTAAAATAATACGTAAAATAGTGGATATTTTTAGTGTATAAATTCTCTTTTCTTGATTTATATATATACAATTCATTCTTCTCACATCTTTGACCGTATTATATTAATCGTATTAAGATTTATTGTATCGTCAAATGTTCTAATCAATGTAAAAAAATCGCACCATATAATGAAACATCCAATTACTATTACACAGAAATTATAGCCTCTTTCGAGATGATTCTGAGTCTGAGCCAAGGTCGTTCCGTTCTTTCGCTATGGAGAGATCATCGCAGTCGGTCGCACAAGCCATGGATCAAAATGGAATTCTCTTTTTCGGTCTTTTGTCAGATTTAGCAATTGGATGTTGGAACAGTATAAAATATCCCGAATACGGTGGCACCAATACTGAAATAGTCGTCGTCAATCCTGAAACTTTACAGTTTCCGTCTGGAATAAAGGTATAACAATCTTAATAAAAGTATAACGATACTTTTCGTACATTTCAAATAAATGTCCTTCTGGTTTATTACAATTTTTTCTAATCTCCTAAATTTATTTATCAATCTCTTAAAAGTTTACGCGAAACATCTAATTAGCTCTAAATCTGAGATTGACAGATTAACAAACCGCTGTTATTCTTGTTGTTTTGAAAACCACTCTTTTATTGCCATCTTCACGAATACAATCGATCAAAAACAACTAAAGTATTGATTTTGAGAAAGACCTTGAAAATTGAATATGAGAGAAAAAATACATCAAAGTTCTAACAATATTATAATCGTGTGTTGCCTTGGAACTGAATAACTTTGACCCGAAACATTTTGTGCTTTTTAAGAAACTTTCAATTGCTCTTCTCCAGCATAAAGGATTAATGTTCTGATTCGTCTGATTACAGATTATCATACCAAATAATAACCGTGAAGAGTTATGGATCCTCACGTCGTCGTTCAATAAGTTCATGACCGACTCCTTGCATAAGAACGAGACCAATTTCCGAATACAAGCCGGCTACGTAGACGAATTGATCCGCGGCACCAAATGCAGCGCCCAACCCAGGTTTTTGCAAAATAGTGCTTACGAATCGCTCCAGTTCGTCAAATGAAGATTGTGGCACCGCGAGGAGTTCGACAGTCCGCGCTTCCAGATACTGTCGTCCATCCAATGGCGAAAATATCCGAATTCCTTCGCGGAGCGCCAACCCATGTTGCATTTCTCAAGATTCTTCACTAGACCTTTTCCTTTTTCCTGGGTTACGAGATCGTTCTACAATCTCAGACCAGCCAATTACACTGTCTTCGTCGATCATGATTGAGGAACGCGCGATACTACATGTACCTTGTCTCTATTGATGACAGCCGCAAAAAACATAGAATCCGCTTAATATTCCTAAGATCTTGCCCAATGTATTGGTTTGAAGAGCCAATGTTGCTCGTGTTGCTAACCCATAGTTTTTAATCTCCTGTTGCTGTAGTACATGCACTGAGACAAAAGAATATTTGAAAATTTATTTGTGGAATATAAAGTTTATTCAGGGAAATAAACTTTACCTCACAGAAATAAACTTTATCTCGCAGAAATAAACTTTATATTTCACAAATAAATTTGCAACTATTTTTCCTCAATGTGCTGAGAAAAACTACTAGCGTTAGGTAAAAGAGCAGTTTATTTACCATTATTTTCTCTAATATAATATAAATATTTCGTTACTCTTGTTATAAATATCGGATAACGAGCGTCAAAATGCGCGTGCATTTTTTATCTTGTGCCTCATTTTGTGTGTATACACTGAGAAAAAACTAGTTGAAAATTTATTTGTAAAGTATAAAATCTATTCGCAGAGATAAACTTTATTTTATAAAAATAAACTTAATATCTCACAAATAAATTTTCAAGTATTTTTTCTCAATGTATATCGTGTAGATCCTTATAATAATCCATGCGTTACTATTACTAAAATAATATATTTATATTAATATATTTATTTGACCGTTCTCTACGTACACTTGTGTGTACGACGAAACAAAGTCGGAAATCTCGTATGTGCCGGAAAGTATTTAACTGTAGATTACGATAATCGTAAGAGAGTAATATATGCGGTCCCTATTAATACTTATAACGGGGCAGAAACTTATCCACTGTATTTTATAGCGACATAATTTCTTTTTTCAAACAATTACAAACAAATAGTGTTTAAAAAGAAAAAAATCTGAGTGAATCAGCTAATATTTAATTGTGAAATTCCAATGAGAGAAGATGCCTAATCCTTGAATAAATATATAGCCAGATATAATTTTGCTTAGAAATATTCTTCTAGACATATTCTTCTTGATATAACGTAAGAAGCAATTTTAAACAATTACAATTCTTTAGAAGACAAGAATTACAATTCTTAACAGAATGAGATAATTGAGAAAGTCTACAAAATTCATTTTGTTATTAGAACGAATCAAACCGCAAAACTTTATTGACATACCACTTAAAGTGGAGAAATAGGTTCAGTACATCGCTTAAAAACATTCTTTTCGTAGCACAATTGACTGGATAATTAAAGAAATATATCAGAAACTAAAATTAGCATATTTATTTAAAACTGAATAATTTGAATAATGCATTATTATGTGTCAATAAAGTCATATTAATTTGTCTTTGATAGAAATAAAGTATACAAAAGTTTAATATAAACTTTTAATATAAACTATTGGTAGGAATAAAGTATACAAAAGTATAATTTAAATCTTCTACTTATGCTTGTAAAATTCATTTTTATGCAAAAATTTTTCAAAATTTAAGCATTAGTATTAGAAGTTAATCATAACCACTATGTTTTTAATCTTGTCGATCTGTATAAATAAAAAAAATATGAGCATTGTAAATCGCAATTTAACTCTAAGATAAAAAATTGTACGATTAATCTGATAATATATTGATTTACGCGCATATATGTCAGCTTATTTATTCCTATGTTTTCACCAAGAGAGAGTTGCATGTGTTCTTAAAAAAAAGAAGAGTTACTGCATGTTATAAATCATCCATCACTGAACGACATTTTTGGGAAGTTCTTTATTGACTGCTAAAAAATCCTCCACTAGACATAAATGATTGCTATTTATACAAAACGGTGACTTCACTTTTAAATCTTTTCATATCTGCATCTGCATACATGCATGCATGCATTTATGCATGCTCATAATTAAAGACAGTAACAAATCACTGAACCATAATAACACTGAAACGCATTCTGACGTTTGAAGAGTCCGGGAGAGAAGATCCCAACTGGATTATTATTTCTCTCAAATACAATGATACATAGTACATAATGCCATAGAAAAGTTTCTATAAAAGTGCTTGATAAACAAAATACGAACAATACGTTATATATAAATTGTCCACGAATTAATATATCAATTTCTAGTAATTAAAAAGATTTTTGTATGTTCTTAAATATAGTTATGAACATGTTTCACCCTTGAATCTTATTAATTAACATCCCAATATATTAAGAATTGTTCATAATATATGAAGAGATTGTTTATGCTATATTTTTTGTACAATATTTTTAACATAAATATTTTTTAATGCAAAGTATATTTTTTTAATACAAAATTGTATAATAAGCTATAGATTACAAAAACTATGGAAAAACATGATTTTCACCACCGATTGTGGGATAAGAAATAATATCTTTTTAATGTTCTCTTTTTAAGTTTTGCGCCAACCAGTGTTGGATCATTTCTATTTATGTAATATATTCATGTAATATGTTCCTTACTCTCTTAAAGTGAATCAGTGAATAGTCACTGATAAGTATAGTCAGTTATAAGTATAGCACTGAGCACTTTCAGTGCAAATACTTATAACTGCAAATCAGTGTATATTCATTGTTTTCAGTGATGTTTCACTGATTTATTTTAAGAGAGTACTATTATTTGTATAACATAGTAATTTATACCTACCAAAAGTAACATTTATGATGCAACAGGCAAAAGTTTCGATACTTTCTAAACATAAGATCCTAATAACTTTTGTAAGTAATGCATTGCAAACAACTCGTAGATTAAAAAATTAGAAACGAATACAGTGAACAGACAAGTCTGTATCAGGGTGCAAGCGGCAGAGCGGAAAAATAACCAGTCTTAAACCTGTATCGATAGTTGTTATTCGAAACGTCTTACGTAAGACATTCTGATCTGAATTTAGAATTAGTTCAAATTTTCCAATTGAATTATAATTACATGCACACACAAATATAATAACTTAACTTCACGCATTTTTAATTCGTTTCATCCGCGGCTACAGTTCACAATGGAGATAGGAGATGACTGTATTAACTTTTTAGACACCACTCTTTTAATACGTAATAATACAATTATTTTTGACTGGTATCATAAACCAACGTTTTCTGGTCGATACCTTAACTATTTGTCTTTCCATCCTATTCAACACAAGATCGGCACAATTATTGGCTTGGTTGATAGGATGTTTTATCTTAGTCATCCTTCTTTCCATAAGAAAAATTTAGATTTTATCATTTTGATGCTAATTAATAATAATTATCCTTTTGACCTAATTTTTAAAGTTATAAAACGTAGACTAAGATTTCTTATTGTGAATGGTGGACAACGTTCAGAGACAGTTAAAACAAATATGACAGCTTCTGGGTATGATAAAAAATATTTTACCATGCCATTTTGTGGTTCGGTTTCGAAAAGACTGGCAAAGCTTTTTAGAAATAATTGGACAAATATTGGTTATTCTTGCACTAATAAATTATCAGGATTAATTCGTGTACATAAAGACATGTTGCCGTCCCTCTTGGTTTCCATAATAACGTTGTATATAGGTTGCAATGTAGTGGTTGTGAGGCGTCATATGTTGGTCAAACTAGTAGAAGACTCTCTACACGTATTGCCGAACATAGGAGAATTCCTAGGAGTTCTACGATGGAGTTAACGGCCATTCAGGAACACCGTTTGAAGAAGAACCATGATTTCGATTGGGATCATGCCAAAGTTTTACATGAGGAACGTTTTTACTTGAAACGCCTGATTTCAGAAATGATTTTCATCAAATTTCAGAAGCATGGTCTTAACTCACAAAAGGACACTGAATATTTGGGTAGCAGCTACTGCGGTTTGTTATGAAAATAAACTTTGTTTTGGTTTCCTTCTCTTCCACGAGTCGTTGCCGCAATGTTAATGTTCGGTTATATAAATCTGTAATTATTTGTATTTCTTAGACGTGGCGATGTTATCGTTGACAGGATCGTTTTACTTTTAGCTGAGCTCAACAAAGGTATTTTATATTGCCTGTTTTAATTATTTATTATATTTCAATTTTACTTACTTTTATTTTATTTTATGATTTTTTTATAGTTATGACGGCTACTTCTTAATATTAATTTGACTACTTAATATTATTTCTGTAACGGTCTTATCAGCTTTAATATTGCGATTAACATTCATGTCATTTTAATCAGGTCTTTAATTAATTGTAATGCGTTCATATTATAATCCTTGAGTTTTTATTATCACTGAAGAGGGTTCATAATTGAGCCGAAACGTCTGATTATTTATACTGATTATTCATGTTCAATAAATATTACACGATTTCCTAACACAAAGAAGGTTTTTTACCCATATGGTACATAGCACTATTAGTCCTGTGTTTGAACTCGAATTGCCCTTTTTCCTATTTTTTGATTAATATCTTCGTTTGTGAGTTCTTATTTCTTTCTCTAAAAAATAAGGTTGCCTATTGGTGTTCATAAATAAGTTTCAATACGTCGCCAAATGACCCAATGAAAGCACTTATCTTTCCCAAATTAATTCTCTTATTGAGTCGTTCAGTGATATTTTTAATAACTGGACCTTATTGTCCATGATTGCACATACTTAGCAGACTTCATGGTAATAGTAAAATATCTACTTTAATGAAACAAACACAGTATGTTAACTCTTACTGTGTAGAAAAATATTAGTAGTGATAAATTATTATCAATTAGTAATTTATCAATAGCCAATTTATTTATCGTAGTCAAAAATCATATTTTCTTATTAAAGATTAACATTACTGCAAACTTTATAAGAATTTCAAATATTTCATTAAAGTATATACCGTCAATATATACTGCCATTATTTTTAATATTTATAAATTCATGTAATTATAACATGCACTTATATTTTAAAAATAATGATAGTATACATTGTAATAAAATATTAGAAATTTTTATAACCTTTACAGTTAACTTTTAATGTTAACTTTTATAGGAAAATATGATGATTATTGACTGTGATGAATAAATTGGCTATTGATAAATTATTGATTGACAATAATTTATCACTGCCAGTAGTATTTTTCTACAAGGTAAGAGTTAACATACTGTGTTCGTTTTATCGAAGTGTATACTACTATTACTAAAATATTAAATAATTTTTTCTGTATTTACGAAAGCTTCATCGTCTTCTCCATTCATTTCACTCACAAAAAATATCTCCAAACCGACATAGCAACTGTTTCGTGCGTGTTGAGTAGATGTTTTATAATTCTATTTGTACAATTATTTCATCAAATCAGTAATTAATAAATTGCTTTTTTTATTAATATTCATACTTTTTTGCAATAACTGACATACATATTTTATTTCAATTTGCATTAAATTGGACACATTCTAAAGAAGAATAAGAAAAATATATATTTTAAATATAAATAAAGATTAAAAAATATATAGTCATATTGGAATAAAGAAAGAAAATTGTTTTATCAATGTACTACAAGATTATGTTCAATGTAGCTCTTGTACAAAAATAGGTGATATCCCCAAAAACTTACCTTTTAAAAAAAGGTAAAAAAAGCACCTAGTTTCTGCGCTCCGTAAAAAAAAAGAAAATTGTAATACAATATAATCCGTACAAACAATTATATTAAAAAATTATTCCTACAACAAACTGTACTCTTCTACTAAAATTAATGATATCAAGAAATTGGCGCCAAGTGACTATGATTAATTATAACATATCATTTTTCTAATCACTTTATTTATTATTAGACTTTATTATGTACCTATTTTTTATATATATTACATTATTCTGTGTTAGGTATATGTTTAAAAGTTTGTTACCATTATTCCATTAGTAATTTATTAGTAAATGTAACTTGTCCCTATTACTCATTATAACAGCGTTACTTCCTAAATCTGTATCGTATTCCAAATTCCAAACTTGTGTTTGAAATGACCAAGTACACGGAAAAAGAAAAATAAAATTATTCAGATTCATAAAAAAAAACTTGGC